GTAGTATGCTCTATCCATGTGGCTGGTTCACAGATGCCTTCAAAACCAGTTTGATTTTGTGTCGCTATCTGTTGTTCAGCTTATGTAACTGTTATGGATCAGATTTATCTAACTGTTCTTCCACGACTTTTTCGATTCTGCCTGAGCTGAGAAATGTAGAATCGTGGAAACATTTAGGCTGGAAAAGACCTGTAAGATCGAGTCCAGCCATTAACCTAACACTGCCAAGTCTGCCACTAAACCATGTCCCCAAGTGCCACATCTACATGTCTCTTAAATACCTTCAGGATAGTGACTGAACCACTTCTCTGGGCTGCCTGTTCCAATGCTTGACAACCCTCTTGGGGAAGAAATTTTTCCTAATATCCAATGTAAATCTCCCCTGGTGCAGCTTGAGACCATTTCCTCTTGTCCTATCACTTCTTACTCAGGAGAAGAGGCTGAAACCCACCTCAGTACAACCTCCTTTCAGGTAGTTTTAGAGAGTGATAAGGTCTCCCCTCAGCCTCCTTTTCTTCAAGCTGAACACCCCCAGTTCCCTCAGCCACTCCCCATAACACTTGTGCTCCAGACCCTTCACCAGCTCTGTAGCCCTTCTCTGGACACGCTCCAGCACCTCAATGTCCTCCTTGCAGTGAGTGGTCCAAAACTGAACACAGCATTCGAGGTGCAGCCTCACCAGTGCCAAGTACAGGAGGATGATCACGTCTCTGGTCCTGCTGGCCACACTATTGCTGATACAAGCCAGGATGCTGTTGGCCTTCTTGGGCACATTGCTGGCTCATATTCTGCCAGCTGTTGACCAACAACACCCCAGGTGCTGCTCTTCCCCAAGCCTGTAGTGTTACATGGGGTGGTTGTGACCCAAGTGCAGAAGCTGTCACTTGTCTTCATTGAATCCCATACAATTGGCCTCAGCCCATCAATCCAGCCTGTCCAGATCCCTCTGTAGAGCCTTCCTTCCCTCCAGCAGATCAGAACAATGTGTTTGATCACAGATCAAAACAGGCTCTTCCTGTTTCTTTCCTCATTGTTCCCTGCAACTGGAAGGATAGAGGAGAACACAACTGGTGCTCCTGATCCCTTAACCAGTTGTCCCAAAGCTCTGAAACCTCTCTTGATTGCCCTTGGACTGTAGCAGAACGTTTCACCAGACTCCATTAATCTCATGGAGCTGCATGTCTGGCCTGGTAGGCTTTTACCTACAGACTAGAGGTTTGCCTACGCAAGTCACACTTGTCTGGAGCTGAGCTGATTGTCTGCCCCCTCTGCTTGAGGGCCACTTGCTGTGAGGTGGAAATGCCCCACTAATCTGTTGCCATTACTGATATTGCCCTTAAATCCTGAAGCTGGTCATCTCAATGTTTTTCTTCATTATGGTGTTTAATTACACTTAAAGGAGGCTTTTATGTCAGTGTTTCCCAGAAGAGTTTTTATGCTTCTTTTGCTTTATGGATACCTAAAAACATTTCTTTGCTTACACTTGGCCTCAAGAATTTCTAAAGTAACTGTGCACATAGCTGTCTCCATGGATGTGAAGCCAGGCTTTGTTCTGGAGAAGTGAATTTATGCTGGGAAATTAAAGGTGTTTGAGATGTATTCCGAGCACAGTTGTGCTCCCAAGCTGCCCACACATGGCTGTCTAGCAGCCAGGGCAAATGCCTTTGAAAATGAGACCTCTGTGATGAATCTTGGCCAATCCCCATGAAGATTACCTTGGTGTCTGAAACCCCTGTGGGGTCCTTGCGCGTTGCACTGTGTTGATCGCACAGCACGACTTGACTCTGCTCACTGATCTCTTGGGTGAATAAGTCTTACAGTCGCTCAGTGCCAGTAGGCTTTTTGTGGACAAGATGAGCCCTAGCCCAAGTCTGGTTTCCTTTGGAACAGGACGGAGTAACAGGGAGTAGCTTTCAGCTCCTGATCCGGAGCAGCCTTTGGAAGTGAAATACCAGATTGCCAGGGCTTTTCCACCTGTGGTTGTAAGCCTCAGGAGCTGGGGGTGGAACACGGAGTTGCTGTGAACGAAGCTTGTGTTGCAGTGAACACTACTGAGAGTTTCTTTCCTCCACATGGCAGCTGTTCCTCCCGGATGGAGTCACTGTAGAGGTGGTCGTGGCAAACCAAGTTGATGCAGGGCACATGTTTCTGCAGCAGCATACGCACCCCACTTTCCATGTCCTGCGTAGCCTGGACCAGCAGATGTACGCCTGCTACTCTCAACCTGGAATTCCAACCCTGCCAACTCCAGTGCAAGGCAAGTAACTTGTTTCTCAACTGAACAATTTGTGAGCAATCAACTTACAGGATCATGCAAAAGCCTGATGCCCCAGAGTTAGGCTTGGCAGGTTTCCCAGTGGATAAGAACGTGACAGCTCACTTGTCATTTCATCTTTTCTTAAGCTGCTGCCATAGTACAGGTGTCGCTCTGCTCTTCCTTAGACCACTTATCCCTGGAGCACCTCCCCAGCCACTTGGTTGCAGGCTGAAATTCCAAAGAAGTCCACCTCGGGTTATTTCTAATCAACTTGGCATCTGGTGTATTTTTACTGGCAAAATGTGGAACTACTCCCAGATGTCCACAGTGTCTCCATCTGCACGTGGTGTGAAGTGGAGGGTGCATCACGTGGAAGGGTTATTGGCGCGTACTTTCCTTTTTGGAAACAGACCTCGCTATTGGCAACCAAAGGCTGGAGGGAGCTGGATACCTGGGCAGAACAGCACAGTGGTGGCAGACAGACTGGAGAGTAAACGCTCTTCTCCTGTGTCCCACTGCAGGACTGGTCTGACAGGGGTGTGGGTGGTGGTGGGAGAAGATGGAAGCACCAGAAGAAATGCTGTTGATTCTCAGTAGGTCACTGTGCAGCACTACTGATGCCTCAAGTGCTGATTTCTGGATATCCACTTACACTGAGCCTTTCTTCTCCTGGTTTGCAGTTGGTATTATCTGCGCGGCTCCAGGCCTGGATGGGGCATGGTTACGGGCTCAAATTATCAGCTACTTCGAAGAGACCAGTGAGGTGGAGGTCAGATACGTGGACTATGGAGGATATGAGAAAGTGAAGGTGGACATGCTCAGACAAATCAGGTCTGTAGCTCTTCTTCGATGGCCTGAGGCCATGTCTGGCCTGAATCTTCATCAGAGGCATCCTTATCGTTTGGATTGCTTATAGGATTTTTTTTTTTCCTCAGCTGAAGCGGGAGATGGTAGAAAGGTTTGCCTGTGCAGGGGCTGTGGATTCCTTGGGAGCACAGCAAGCTCCTGCGAGGCTTTCTTTCAAGGGGAGGGGAGAGGAAATGGCAGCTTCTGCCACTTCAGTGTGGCAGAACTCAAAGCAGAGTGAATTGATTAGCCAGGAATAAGATTCAGCTTCTCTGCCCTAGCCCCACTGGCTGGGAGAACCGTCTTGGATGAGGGTTTTCTTACAGGAGCCCAGTAAATACTCAGTTGGGCCCCAGAGGTGGCAGAAAAGCAGTCCAGCCTCCGTCATGGAGGTGGCTTTTGCTTGGAGCCCAATGCAACTTGGCACACTAATGAGACAATTTATTGTTGCTGCTCAGATTGCTGGGAGAATAGTCTGGTTTCTTTTTTTGACTGTCATCAATTTTAAACTGAATTCCTGTTAGAACAATTGATTAATCAATGTCGCCTTAAAGGATAGGGGAGTAACTTAAAGCCATGTTTTTATTCTGATTGGTTCTCTTCTCTTTAAGGTCTGACTTTTTATCACTGCCTTTCCAAGGAGCAGAAGTTTTACTAGACAACGTGG